GGTTTGTTTTTTGTTGTTTTTTGTTTTGTTTTTCATTGCCACTACTTTATGTGGGTTTTTTGCTCTATCATTTACTCGAGCCATCGTCTGTGTCACCGTATGTCATGGCCAGGGAGCGAAGATACAGTATGACAGATGAATTTTGCACTGACATGTAAAATAATAATGAGCCGTTTGCCTTATGGGAGAGAGAGAGAGAGAGAGAGAGAGAGAGAGAGAGAGAGAGAGAGAGAGAGAGATGGGGTTAGTCGTATTCGGATGGAGGCACGTCGATGAAAGGAAAGAGGGGGAAATGATTACATGCTGAAGGACAGATCGATACCGGCTTGCGCAAGAAGTAATCGCTCACTCCGTGACAGATAAAGGATTAAACGTTGGAAAGATATGACGAATTTGAGGAAACATTTTGTTCGTGTTTCTTTTCGTTTCTAGTTTTCTTCTCGGGTTTTATTTCAAATATTGGAAAAAATCAGAAATGGCGAATTCAATATTAATGTTGCCAGGTCTCGTAGATACTTGAGTTGACGCATTCTGGATTGTCTTTGTTTTCTACTCATTGATTTAGACGAAAAACACACTCACAGACATACAAACACACAGACATACATATCCACAGACATACACTCTCACACACGCATTCCCATGTCCATGTGTGCATGAGTTCCAACACGCACACACTCACATGCACACACGCACACACGCACACACGCACACACGCACACACGCACATACATACACACGAACACACATACACACATACACACGCATGTACACGCACACATGCACACACAGACACATACATATTTACACGCATATATGTACCTCTATATTTATTCAAAGTCCTTTTTGTTGTTGATACCTTAAATAATATTTTATTGTTATAGACATACCCAGTTTCCCCAAGATATAGATCAGATCTGATAATGGATCACAAGACGAGGACTGTCGCTTTAGCTCTTCAACCTAATTTTGTACTTCTAGTTGCATGATCCCTGAAGTAAGAGACTCGAAGCAGAAGTCAGACTTCAGAGGTATCAAGAATCGTCTGGCCCGTTTCATGATCAATTTCCAAACGTTACTCAGTTTTGCAACCGATTTAATTAAGGATAACACATAATAATATTCTTGTATCGCCTCCAACTTGAGGCATCGATTTTGTAGCAAGACCGTCGTATATCGGAGACACAGATGAGGTGATTGTAAATATTTTACACCCTCACTGACACACTTTGCATCCTTTAGGAGGCTGGCCGCTTTGTCAAGGACACGCTTGGTAATATTTGATAATACATCCAGGCAGACAGATGGGGATGGTTGGTTCGTGCAGTCGAACTTGTCCAAGACGATCCCCTAGCATTGTCGAGAAAAAAGTGGTCCTCTTAGACAGGTGGTCCTATTGGACAGTTCACAGTAAAAGAACAAAAGGCAACGGATAAGTGGGTGTGTTTGTGTGTAGATGTGGTTATCTAGGACATGTGGTTGTCTAGGACAGGTGGTTGTCTAGGACAAGTGGTTGTCTAGGACAGGTGGCTGTGTAGGACAGGTGGTTGTCTAGGACAGGTGGTTGTCTAGAACAGGTGGTTGTCTAGGATAGGTGGTTGTCTAGGATAGGTGGTTGTCTAGGACAGGTGGTTGTCTAGGTGCGGCTGTATATCATAATCTTCCTCCCACGTGAATGAGAAAGAAAATTCTTGAAGCCCATAAAGCATTTGCGAAGGTGAAAGAACGTTAGTTGGTGTTGTTGTTTTGTTGTTGTTGTTGTTTTTGTTGTTGGCTTTTTTTTGGGGGGGGGGGGGTTAGGACAGGAAAGAAAATCAACCCCCCCCCCCCCCCCCCCCCCCGCCCAAAAAAAAACCCCGCAACGAAGCAAAGCAACAAAAACAAAAACTACAGCAAAAAACAGCAGGCATATCTGTGAACTTTCTATTCCAAACAGCGACAAGGTCATAAAGGGTTTTACGTTTCACTTTATCATATTAACTTTTCTCCTTTGTCCTTGTGATTGGGAGAATTCCATCCTGTCGAAATATGAGCCTGAATTGTCATCAATTTTCCGCTGAGAGATGTCAGGACAAAGAAGGAATAATTTTTTTTATTGGCTAAAGCGGTGCTCATTCGGAGCATAATTTCAAACTGAGGATGATGAAGCCGAACGAACGAGAAGAGCCTTGTGAACTGCGCTGAAAAACAAAAAAAAATAAAAACAAAAACAAAACAAAACCTGTTTGTTTGTTGTTGTTTTTTCCTTTTTGTTTTATTTAACATTTTTTGTTTTTACGTTTTGTTAGTGTCGCTGTAGTGGCATTAGTATTTTCTAAATTTTGATTTGTTTTGGGGAGGGGTGAGGTTGGGGGCGGGGAGGCTAGTAGGGGCAAGGGTTTGTTGGTTGGCGTAATAATAAATAATAAATAGCATTTGTATAGCGCATAACCCCGCTCTACAGCAAGCTCTATGCGCTTTACACTATATTATTACCCCAGCAGACCATGGAACACTCCGAAACATTCTCAGCTTCCCGGGAACCATACAGTGCAAGCAGCTGATTAAGCGCTCAAACACTAACAAACTGACAAGATCTTTCGCAGTCTATAGCCGGGTACCCATTCCCACCTGGGTGAAGTGAGGAAAATTCGTGTAAAGTGCCTTTCCCAAGGACACAACGTCGGGCCCCTGACGGGATTCGAACCCACGACCTTACGATTGCGAGTCCGAGAGCGTAGGGAGGGGGTGGTTGAGGTAGGGGTGCTTGGTTGGGGGTGAGAGTTATAGGGGATGGGCATGGAAAGGGGTGGCGGGAGGGGGGGGGAGGTAGGGTGAAATTGATTCAGGCTTTTAGAATCCGAATAATGAGAATTTGTTCTGTTTTGATTTGAACGATGAAAATATGGTTTTGCGTGTTGTGCAAAAAGTCTTTAAAATGTTTAAAACCTTGATGTGCCTTAATGTTTGATCTGTCATGTAATATTCATTCGCATGACAGGCTCTGAGGTCGGTGGCCGTTTTTTTAAGGGCCAGTATTTGAAGGAGTTAATAATAGCAAAGAGAAACTTCACAAAGTTCAGTTTTCATTACAAAAGTAAGCAAACACACACATACATACACACACACACACATACCCACACAAACACACACACACACACACACACACACACACACACACACACACACACACACACACACTCACACGCTCGAGCGCGTGTGAGTGCACGCGTACGATCATATCTATCTATCTATCTATCTATCTATCTATCTATCTATCTATCTATCTATCTATCTATCTATCTATC